AGCCTCCCAGAGCCTCTTTGTTAGTTCCCAATGCTCTCTCTTAGGCAATCCAGCTGAAGGCACAGTCTATTCGCCACTTTCTATCCTCTCCGCCAGAGTCCATCCTCTCCAGCAGAGCAGCGTTTTGTAGGCTGCGTGCAGTCTGCCCTCCTGGCTCCTCGCACCTCCTGTATTCTAGCTATTCTACTTTACCTAATGCAGCCTACGTCTGGCGTGTGTGCATGCATGTGTGTGTCTGCCCTCATCACTACTGACTCAGCACTTCAAAGGTGCTAAAGTTCCCCAGGTCGTCACTGTTGCCGCCATCCCGTTGCATCTTCCTTCCATTTCAGGACCGGTCCCTCCCTGTCCCCTCCTTCCCTCTCCCCTCCCTGTCCCCTCCCCTTGCACTGTTTGACATCTTCCTTACCCCCCTAACTATAGCTTAGTGACTGTTTCATTTCGGCATGTTAAAAGCTTCCCCATTTCTTTGTAAGGGTATATAGTATTCTATCATATCCATGTCTCGTGTTTGTTTAACCAATCACCTACCAAGGAATACTCACGTAGCACCTATTTTTGCTATATTAGAATTGAATAACTCTGCTTATACCTAATTTTCCATATTTGGTAATCTGTCCTATAGGTACATTCTTAGGACTAGAATTGCAGGGCTGAAAGATAAGTGCATATACAATTTCATTAAATATTTATACCATCACTTTATGCCAGAATTATATCTACTTGCTATTCCATCAGTAACATGTGAGAGTACCTGTTCAGGAGGATTTCTGAGTTTACTTGTTAATCATGACTATAGCAGGTAGAATTAATTGATATTTTATAAAACTGATGTAGGTCTGGGCATGGTGGCTTATGCCTTTTGTCATAACCCCTGGGAGGCCAAAGTGGGAGGATCCCTTGAGTTCAGGGGTTTCAGACCAACCTGAGCAAGAGCAATACCCTGTCTGTACTAAAAATAGAAAAACTAGCCAGGTGAGGTGATGGGCACCTGTAGTCCCAACTACTCAGGAGGCTGAGGCAGGAGGATCCGTTGAACCTAGAAGTTTGCGGTTGCTGTGACTGAGGCTTATGCATAGCACTTTAGCTTAAGGTAACAGAGTGACACTCTTGTCTCAGGAAAAAAAAATTGATTTAGGATTGGAGAAATTAAGCTTGCCGAGAGGTTCTCCACTGTGATGATAATTAGATATTGTATTTTGGAGAGGCAGGATGATCTCATGTGCATTCAGATCCATATAATAGTTAGCAACATCCTAATGGAAATCAAACGTGTTTTTCAAATACAAACCTTTGGATGTTTCATTACTTGATGTAGACTCACACGTTTAAATGGAAAACTTAATTGAATGTTGTCATTTTATTTATAAATGTTTGTGTTACAAGTCATTGTGAAGGGGTCATTATTCACTTATTGTATTAGTCAGATCAAACCTAAGGATTTGTTAATTGCAAAAAACCATTTTTTTTAAGCGATTCCCGGCACTGTCTGCATAGGGCCTGCCCTCATTCTCAGACGTGATTTCCTTGGTGGAGGTCAGCTCTGACTTGGCTCAGAGGAAGCTATTTCTCTCTTGTTCTTGTGTCAGTGTGGTCTGACAACAGTCTAGGTCCTGGCCAATGGTGCTGATGTCACATTATTTTATACCAGCTCCTTCGGTGTATCCTTGAGGTAGCTGTGCACCCAGACTCCACTCTGGTGGCTCTGTCCTGATAGCACACAGGTAATTGCATTTGCAGTCTGAGGACGTCTATTTCCAGCATGTCAGTCCAGTGCCCCTGAATCTCAAGCACGTAATCAGAGCGCTGCAAGAACGGCCATCCCCAAGGCCTGGCCACTGGCTCCTGAGTCCTGCGTCTCATAGGCAAAACAGATTAGAATTTGTGAGGTCGGATGTGTCCAGAAAGGAAAAACCTGAACTGCTAACAGGCACCACTGTCATCTGTGATTACCAACTAATTATGGGATTTTTTTGCCGGACATAAATGTTGGTGCTTAGGTTTAAAAAGAAAGAGTGCTTTGGATTTGTGAGAGAGAGGTGTTTTCCTCTGTGTCTCTAAGCCAGTGAAATAATAGCATGATAGTGGGGCCGGTAAATTCCTCATAGTTAAATATTTGCATTGTGTTTACTGGTCGGCTATAGATTCTGGTGTTAGTTGTCTGTTGATCGATCCACTCCAAATTGATAGGAAATCCATAGCACACAAGCGTCTGATTTTTTTTTTTTTTTGGTATATTTTAAGGCCCTTTTGTAAATAATTGGTTAAAATATTATTCTACTGACCATAGAAACTTCTTCCTTTTGCATTGGGATTTTATGTCAATATATAAGTCAATTTATACTATTCTATGATTTTAGAAGTCTAAAGTGATTAGGATTCACTTTCATCCCTGAGTCACGACCTCAATTTTCTAACCACCCATCAGATCATTATGGTTGGTTCTCTGTATCCTGAGTTGCACATCTGTAGATGCAACCAACTGTAGATCAAAAATATCTGGGGAAAAAATACAAAATAACATTACCAACGATAAAAAATATTAACAATAAAAACCAAAATTGTGCAACAACTATGTATCTAGCATTAACATTGCATTAAATATTATCAGTAATTTATAGATGATTTAAAGTATATAGGAGAATGTGCGTAGGTTATATGTAAATTCTTTTTTTTCCCCCAGAGACAGAGTCTCACGCTGTTGCCCAGACTAAAGTGCCATGGCATTAACCTAGCTCATAGCAACCTCAAATTCCTGGTTTCCAGCAATCCTCCTTCCTCAGCCTTTGGGGTAACTGAGACTATAGGTGCCCACCACAGTACCCAGCTGGCTTTTCTATATTTAGCAGAGGTAGGGGTCTTACTCTTGATTAGGCTGGTCTCAAACACATGAGCTCAAGGGATCCTCCTGCATGGACCTCCCAGAGTGCTTGAATTACAAGGGTGAGCCAGGCTGCCTGACCAGTTCTATGCAAATCCTCTACCACTCTATATCAGGGACTTGGGCATCCTTGAATTTTCACATCTTAGAGGGGGTTCCTGGAACCAATCTCCTGAGGATGTCAAGGGACAACTGTAGTTTCTAAGTAAAATCTGGGTCCAATTTATTATCACCAGTGTCGATACTGGTTACTCTAATTGAGCAAGTGAGCAGCTATTGTACTACTATCTGAAGACAAATCTGTAAACCATTAAAATATTGAATTTGTGATCAAGTGTCCTTGACTCCACTTTAAGGGTGGTAATTTAATTAGCAGCAGCAGCAGTGGAGCTTCTCTGCCCGGGAGACTAGTTTAGAAAAGGAAAGGGGAAACCAAGACCTTGAAAAGGAAGGCGTTTTACAAAATAGGCTGCATAATTAGTTCAGGTATTACATCTCTGAAAAGGGCAGGTTTCTCTAACTACCTATCCACTCTGACTTTTCTTTCAAATTGATGTCTGAGACTTCCTTGATTTAAATAAAATCACCATAATAAAGAAAATAAGACGTTATGTTTTCTATAAAAAATGGGAACTAGTGTTCCAGCTTCCTTTTTCCTGTCTCCAAGCTGTTGATGGAGCGAAACTCCTTTTAAAGCCCAGTTTTAATGCAAAAGGATGATTGCATTTTAACTAGCAACCTGAAATGTTATTAGCTCCTTTAGATGTAGACTCTGTTATTCACAGGTATTGTGTTTCTTTGTCTTGTTTTTTGCCCCTAATGTACCATTTTTTAATACAAAAAAATATATATTTGCCAGTTAACTGGGCAGCAATACCATAGGAATGCCGGTTAATTACCTGCTTAATCTTTTAAAATGTGAATTCATGCATTTTGGAACTTGATGTTCACAAATAATTTTTTTAAAAAATTTAATTTTAAAGATGCCCCTTTGGTGCCTCTTTGGATCATTCTAGATTATGGTAAATAGAAGGAGGTGAACAGGTGGCCTTCTCTCTGACGTCCATGATTTTTATGAACCTAATCTTACATGTTTTGTTGTTTGAGTTTTTCTTAGTATGATACTTTAGCTTCCTCTACCTTTCTTTCCTTTTCTTTTTTTTTCTTGTTTTTTCTCTTATCACTCTTGGGAACTTCCTCTACTTTTAATCTTTTCACCCACCGAACGTCTGGTAATTATTTCTGTCTCCTTTCTTCACATTCTGCCTGTATGAGTTTTGTCTCTATGAGACAAAGGGATTCACAGAGAATGTATGTTGGAAGAAAAATCTGGTTCTCTTTTATGCAATGATGTTTTTATGAGATCACTACTCTATTATTTAAAATAGTATTAAGGCGCCATCCTTATGCAAATCATTATTAGTGCCTAGCTAGGCCTCCAAGAGTTTAAGATTGATTCAAAATCAGTTTCCAGATTGGGCATGACTGGGTCCACATAAGACATCATTTTGGAAAGAATTGGAGAACAGGTAGTTCTGAAAACATAGTCTATATATGAATTGAATCCACCAGTATGTTAGCCAATGCTTTGCTTTCATTTTTATTTTTTGTTGAGACAGAGCCTCACTCTGTTGTCCAGACTAGAGTGTCACGGTGTTGTAGCTCACAGCAACCTCAAACTCTTGGGCTCAAGCAATCCTCTTACCTCAGCCCCCCCAAGTAGCTGGAACTCCAGGCACCGCCAGGCCTGGCTAGTTTTGTATTTTTAGTAGAGATGATGTCTCACACTTGCTCAGGCTAGTCTTTGCCAATGCTTTGTTTTTATTAACTCTTCCCAGAGGTGCACACAGAAAAGGCCTATATGTCAAAGTTTCCTTCTTTTTCTGACCCAGATTTTATATTGTTTCTTCTTTTATATTGTTTCTGTTTTTAGGGCACCTGCATTTCCCTGACATACCTTTTATAACTTTATAACTTTAAGAAAAGACCATAATGGGTGATCAGTTGACCCAACTCCTTGAGCACCTGACTAAGCAGCGTGAGTGAATTACTATAGTAAATGCACGTGTGTCCAGTTGGCTGCTAATGTTACTGGGTTCCCTTTCTGTAATCATTTTAGGACTTGCTCAGTGCTGTAGAAGCAAAAGAAGCTCTTGAAAGAGAAGTTAAGATCTTCCAAGAGAGGCTGCTTGCCGGCCAGCGGGTCTGGGATGCCTCCAAGCAGGAGCTGAGCTTGCTGAAGAAAAGCTGCGATGAGATGGAGAAGAATTTGAAGGCCAGTCTGGATGCAGCCACGGCCTCGCAAAGCCAGTACTCCTCATTTAGGGAGAAGATCGCAGCCCTCCTCAGGGACAGAGTGGGCACAACTGGGTCCACGGATGATGCCATTTTGAAGAGGATTCAAGAAATGGGCAGCCGAGAAGAAAGCAGGGACAGGGTGAGTAGGCAACAGCTGCATCTGCAGGACAGTGAGCTCATGCATTTAGCGTACTCCACAGCGACTTAGCTGAATTAGGGAAAGCAAAACGTCAAGGTGGTTGCGTTACATTCCATTCAATAGTATGCAGGTGGGACGGGGAATGGCTCAAGCAACAGCTAACTTACCTGTGGGTTCTGGAGTTGGACTTCCCAGGTGTTGAAGGCTGTCCCCACACCATAGTCACTCCTCCCAGGTGCTGAAGGCTGTGCCCACACCATGGTTGCTCCTCCCAGGTGCTGAAGGCTGTCCCCACACCATGGTTGCTCCTCCCAGGTGCTGAAGGCTGTCCCCACACCATAGTCACTCCTCCCAGGTCCTGAAGGCTGTCCCCACACCATGGTTGCTCCTCCCAGGTGCTGAAGGCTGTCCCCACAGCGGAGTCACTCCTCCCAGCTGCTGAAGGCTGTCCCCACAGCGGAGTCACTCCTCCCAGGTGCTGAAGGCTGTCCCCACACCATAGTCACTCCTCCCAGGTGCTGAAGGCTGTGCCCACAGCGGAGTCACTCCTCCCAGCTGCTGAAGGCTGTCCCCACAGCGGAGTCACTCCTCCCAGCTGCTGAAGGCTGTCCCCACAGCATAGTCAACTCCTCCCAGGTGCTGAAGGCTGTCCCTACAGCATGTTCACTCCTGAGCAGTGTGAGCCTGGCCAGCTTCCTGAGATTATGGCTTCTGAGATTCTGTTTTCCTCATCTGTCAGAAGGGGCCAGCACAGGGTCCACAGCCCCTTATCTGAAACCCTTGGGGCCGTATGCGTTTTCACATTCAGAATTTCTCAGGATTTGGAAGCTAAATAAATGGTATACAGAAAGATAAGAGAGAATGTGACCTGACACAGCCCTCCATGGTGGTGTCTGGGACACAGTCCACCATCAGCCACATTTATGATCCTATAGCAAAGCCTGTGAGCAGCTCTGAGTGGGATAAAAGTAGATTATAAATAGCCTTGTGTCTCTTTGGGTCAGGGTTTGCTGCCCAGATGTGTCAGGTCAGGCTAAGCTTTGTCAGTAAATGAGTTACAAAACAAAACCCCTGGATTTTGAACTTGTGGCTAAAGGTTTCTAGACCTCGAACAGTATCTGCTTTATAAGGTTACTGCTTATTGTAAGCATTAAATAGAAGAAAATTGTTATAAAGACCTTAACACATTGTCTGGAAAATCACAATAAATATTAACTATTGCTGCTGAGGCCTCTTCTCCTACCTTTCTCGCCTTCTCTTCTCTTTTTCATAAGTGCGTGGTGCCCAGAACAGTTTTTGTTTTTTTTTTTTTTAAAGAGACAGAGTCTCACTCTGTCACCTTTGGTAAAGTGCTCTGGTGTCACAGCTCACAGCAACCTCTGGCTCTTGCCTCAGCCTCCCGAGTAGCTGGGACTACAGGTGCCCGCCACAAAGCCTGGCTATTTTTTGTTGCAGTTTGGCCGGGGTTGGGTTTGAACCCACCACCCTAGGTATATGGGGCTGGTGCCCCACCCACTGAGCCACAGGCGCTGCCCACACATTTCTGTTTTTTAATGATACTAAAAAAAACTGAGAGTGATCAATAACTCAGAGTTCAGAATTCCATTTGTAAATTTCCTTTAACAATCAAAACATTTAAATTCACTTAAAAAATTCTCCAAAATTCATACGTGCTCTAGGATCAGCCTTTGTACCCTCTTTGGCCAAGTGCAGGGTTTTCTTTATGGATATCAAGGGTTCATGCAGGGGGCGCTCGTGTGTTAACTGCCATGCTGTGGCAGGTAAGGGTCTCTTGAGAGTAATTTGTGACTCAGTTTACATAGAGATATTTGCTGAGGCAGGAAATTATTTATGGGTTTGAGAAAAACTTGATTATTTCCCTGAACTGGTAACGGGTACACAGACAATCTTCTACTTACAGTGTTTCAATTTAGAATTTTGTTGCTTTACGATGGTCTGAAAGTGCTATGCATTCCACAGAGACAGTTCTTTGAGTACCCACCCAACCCTTCTGTTTTTCACTTTCAGTATAGAATTCAATAAATTAGATGAGACATTCAGTAGTTGAATGTAATATAGGCTTTGTGTTAGATGATTTTTCCCAACTGTAGGCTAATGCGTTTTGAGCATGTTTCGGGTGGGCGAGGCTAGGCTATGGAGCTCGGTAGGTCAGATGCAGTTAAGTGCATTTTCCACTTAGGTTATTTTCAACTTAACAATGGGTTTATCGGGACATAACCTTATCCTGCGTCAAGGAGCACCTGGACTTCGGTAGCTATTTTTTTTTTTTTGACATTTCATTTTACTGCTTTTCCTTCTATATTTCCAAGTATTTTCCTAAAACGATTTTAATTCCAGCATGTGAAGCATGGCACACAATTGTCAGCATGATGTATATGTTTATTTTCTAAAGCCGAATGATGTAAATTGGTTAAGCTGGATATGCCTTCCCCCACTCCCTCTAAAAATTAGAATGATTCAGAGTCTTTTTAGTGCCTTTGTCTGCCTTCCCTACCCTGTAATTTTTTTCAATAGCTACTCTCCCTATTTAAAAGCCTGAAATCAAGCATATAGCTGGTGTCTTGTGTGACTCATCTTCAAGTAAAATCAAGAGAAAATGGATTTCATATATTGTCTTAGAAATGTTTCTAAAGAATAAGAGCTTTACAAATTGATGAATCTGTTTGTTGAGGAGGCTGCCTGCCCCTGCCAGCTGCCATGGCTACAGGCACAGTCAATGGTTGAGTATTGCCAACGCGGAGGCCCAGCGGCAGGTTCAGGAGTGGCCTGGCAAATTCCCCACTTCATGCCCACTCCTACCGACTGGAGGTTGCTTTTCTTATTTACCCCTTTGCTATCCAGTTTTCCTCTCCTGTGTTTGCAATTCTCGGTAGAATTCAGGACACCACCCACACTTCTCCAGCAACTCATTTCTACTTGTTCCTTGCATTTCTGCTTCTGGCAAAATTTAATCTTTTTTAAAAGCTTTACGGTGTCTTAGAGGAGAGTTTCTTAGCTCCAGAGCTATTGACATTATGGACAGGCTAATATTTTGCTGTGGGGGCTGTCCTGGGCATTGTAGGAGGTTCAGCAGCATCACTGGACTCTACCCACTAGATAATACCAGGAGCACTGCCCCCTCCTCAGCTGGTGACAACCGCAGATGTCTCTGGACATTGCTGAATGTCCTCTAGGGGTCAAAATTGCCCCTAGTTGAAAACTGCTGCCTTAGAGGAATATTCTATTTCTGGGTTCCCAGAAATTCTAAATGAGTATTTGAATGTTATGCAGCCTTGAAATTTCAGGACACCATAGCAGATGTTTACGAAATAATCACTTCTTACACAATGACAGAGTATTGCAACATTTTTGGATTTTACTTTAGAATTTTGAGGCATTTTTTTTTCTTACTTTTAGTAGGAAAAGGGGTAAACAAAAAAAAGCAACCTTCAGTCAGTGGGAGTTGGCATGAAGTGGGGAATTTGCCAGGCTGCGCTTGACGCTGCTGCTGGGCCTCCACGTTGAAATTACTGAGTGTGCCAGGGCCTCCTCAGCAAACAGATTCTTCAGTTTGTAAAGCTCCCATTCTTTAGAAACATTTCTAGAACAATATATGAAATCCATTTCTCCTGATTTTACCTGAAGTAATGGGCTAATCATCTCAGTGAGAATTGATTACATATAGAGAGAACATGACCAGGACCAATTTCTACACTGTTTCTTAAATTAAAGGCAAATTAACACACGCTCATGAACGTCTATCTGGGTAGCTTTTTTTGGATGTGCTGTAAGCACATCTGAAGCTTTATTTCCTCCCGGGAGTGTTTCCCGGGGCCTCTGTGAGAGCTGTGGGGACCCAGCCCAACTCTGTGAAGGGCCTGGGATGTGCCCTGCGGCCACTCTAGCCCGTCTCACCTCCAAGCCTGATCATTATTTTCCCACTCTGTTCTCAGTCCTGCCCGACTATCGCAGATGTTCCCCGAGAGGCTGCTCAGACTTCCTCTGGCGTTTCCTTATTCAGAGTCCTGTACATGGTCAGCCCTGGCTGCAAGAGCGTCTGGAGAGTGGACAGACAGAGCCTTTCCACTGGTGTTGAGTTCCTCGGGCTTCTGTACAAAAGTGCCACAAATGAGGTGGACTAAGAAACAGATGTTTGTCATGGTTCTCACAGATTAGAAATTTGAGGTCAAGGTGTTCCAGTGTTGGTTCCCCCTGGGTGCTTTGAGGGAGAGTCAGTTCCCTGCCTTACTCCCAGCTTCGGTGGCCGCAGGTGATCTTTGGCTTGTGACAGTGTCCTCCTGTGTCCTCCTGTCATCTCTTCCCTCTATGAATGTCTGTCTTTGTGGATGAATCTTTCATTTTTTAAAGATGTCGGTCTTATTGCATTAGAGACCACTCTAATGATCTCAATTTTATCCCCTTACTGCTGTAAAGAGCCCGTTTCCACAGCAGGTCACATTTCCTCCAGTACCTCAAAATGTGACCCAACTCAACCCCCCTAAAAGTTCCCATGAATGAAGGAAGAGGGGGGATATTGGCCAGGCAACAGTGTTGGCCGCATGTGCTGACAAGCAGGAAGAAGGATTTGGTTGATGTTGTAGGTAGCAACTCCTAACTTATTTTATATACTTTCTGAGTGAGAATTGTAGCTTGAATAATTGGAAAGGAGTTGTTTGTGTCTGAAAAGCACTGGACCTTAAGTGACCCAAGTGGCTCTTTCTTCAGTGGAGAGCTCTTTGGCTTTTATTTGGTTCAATCTTAGAGCAAAAATGTCTGTCTGGTGAAATCAACAAATACTTGTCCTTGGGGAGTGAATTAACTCCCTTAGGGCATTATGACATCATTTCCCAAAGTCCTGCTGCTTGTTCTTAAAGTATACTTTGCTTTAGTGCTTTTTTTCTTTAAAAAATTGAGGTGTTTATTTGTTATTACTCCCCCACCCCCACCCTACCCTATTTCCTCTATCTCTGATATTTAAATCACTGGCACCTTCTGTTCCC